CTGCTCTTGCTGCTGCTGCTCTTGCTGCTGCTGCTCTTGCTGCTGCTGCTCTTGCTGCTGCTGTGTATGTTTGAGTAAGCAGCAGAAGTCAGCTAATAGAGGGAGAATGAAGTCTCTACAGTAAGCTGCTTTCTCTCTGTCTTTGTTCGACGACTTTGAATATCTGCACGTACACTCTGCACGCCAAACTGCATTTAAGGCAGCAAACGCAAAATCTACAACCGACTCCTCTTGCAACGTATTGCTGCTGCTGTTGCTGCTGTTGCTGCAGTTGCTGCAGTTGCTGCTGCTGCTGCTGTTGCTGCAGTTGCTGCAGTTGCTGCAGTTGTCGCTGCTCCTGCAGTTGTTGCTGTTGCTGCAGTTGCTGCAGTTGTTGTTGCTGCTGCTGCTGTTGCAGCTGTTGCTGTTGCTGCAGTTGCTGCTGTTGTTGCTGCTGTTGCTGCTGTTGCTGCAGTTGCTGCTGCAGTTGTTGCTGTTGCATTTTGTGCAGCAGCAGGAAGTATTATTGCTGTTGCATTTGTTGTTGGAGTCGCAGCAGCAGCAGCAGCAGCAGCAAATATTGTTGCTGCTGCTGCGCATGAGTTTATATGTTTTTGCGAGATACAGCAGCACAGTTCTTGCCCCGTTCATTTGTTGTTTATTATCAGCAAAGTAAGGCAGCGTTAAAGGTAAAGAAGAAGCAGCAAATAAACTCGAAACATCAACACAACTACAGAAAGATTTGTCCGCGTACACCTCAGCATAGCCGACGCATGCATGCCGCAGCAGCAAACGAATAGCGTCTGCTGACCCCCTGCAGCAAATATTTATAAATATTTATTTATCCTTTTGTTTAATTGTTTACTTAAATGTTTTTATATTGTATGTATGTATATGTTTATGCTTATTTATGTTTGTATATATATATATTATATGTTATATCTTATATACATATACATATATACATATATATATGATCGCATTTTTAAATTGAATTTAAATTAATTCATTTAATTAAATGAAATAAAATTAAATTAAATAAAATTAAATAAAATTAAATAAATAAGTACCTGCATTTTAAGTAGACTAAGACGGAATGCACTGGCGTAGTTGGCGTCGGTCGGTGTACAGACGACGAATATCGAAGTTCAAGCAGCCGCCCAATGGGGAATAAAGAAAATAAAGAAGCTTGCTGCTGCTGCTGCTGCTGCTGCTGCAGTTGCAGTTGCTGCTGCAGTTGCTGCTGCTGTGGCTGCTGCTGCAGTTGCTGCTCCTTTTGTTGATGCTGTTGCTGCTCATTTTGCTGCTGTAGTTTCTGCTTTTCCTGCTGCTGAACGTTTTTCGCCTCTTGGTATTGCTGTTGCTGCTGCAGTTCCTGTTGCTGCTGCTGCTGCTGCTGCTGCTGTTGCTGCTGCTGCTGCTGTTTGGTGGGTTTTGTAGCAGCGAGTGCTTCTGCTAGAGAATCGCAAAGGAGAGAAAATTCAGAGATTGCAGCGGGTTTAAAATAAATTGATTGAAGAAGAAGATCTGCTTGAAGGGCTTTGACTGCGAGGTGAAATAAATTATATTTCTTCGTTCGTTTGCCTTCATTACATAAAGTTTGAAGTGGCTTTGAAGAACAAGAAGCAGAAGATAAAGAAGAAGCAGAAGATAAAGAAGAAGCAGAAGATAAAGAGGAGGCGTCAGATGAAGAAGATAAAGAAGAAGAAGAAGATTTAAAAGAATGTACTGCAGCAAGACCTGTTGATATACGCCGCTGCTTCATGCAGCGCGAGGGAAAGCGCGAAGAAATTGTCATTGAAAGAAGAAAATAAAGAAATATAATTAATAAAAACGAATAAAATAATAAAATAAACAAATAAATATCTATGAACAATATATTCTAAAGCAGTATTCTGCTGCTGCCACTTCCAAATTAAAAAGAAATTTTCAGCTGTATGTACACCGCAAAATATATTAAATATTCTTCCCTTAGAAATATCTTAAACAAATTAAATTAAATTAAATTAAATTAAATTACATTACATCTACTCTTTATTTTATTTATTTTATATCTGCTTTAATTTATTTA